CGCACCGCCAAAGGTCATAAACGAATAACCGTTGCTAACAAGAAAAAGGCTCCTACTCCAAAATAATCTCAGGCAGGATTTTTGCAGAAAATGTTTTTTTAGGCTTGTTGTTGGTCTCTTAATTTTTAATTTGTTCATTTTGTTTATTCCGATACTTATATAATGACTGGACTGGCTGGGTATCTTTTTTTACTGTTCTTAATTTTTCTTTCTTATGTAGTTGATTTGGTGTTCATAGGAGTTCATTTTTCAATAAGAAAAAAAATAATTAAAGCCATGACAATACGATATGCTAATACCACCATTTTTATCCCTATTTGAGTTATTATTGCCTTGATTTTGATAATTCCTAGTTGAATTTTTTCCCGTTTTGGTCAGAAAAAAGGCATTTTAAAATTCTTAATGTTATGGTCTTTTTCTAATTTTGGTTGTCTTTTGGCTTATATACTTTCCAGTCGCGACCCTTTTGCTGCTTTTGCCCTCTTTCACGTTTTAGTATTTGGTTTGCTATCTTTATTTTTTTATCTGTGGTGGTCAAAAAAACCTCGTAAGAATTAAAACAATTAAAATTTTTTAAAGTGCTTATTTTAGAAAAAAAAGAAAAATGTTTGGCAAAAAGTCTTTTTTTAGTTCTTTTTAACCTGCTTTTTCTTTAATAACCTGATTGTATTAAGCAAAAGTAAACAACTAACTACTAAGAGCAACCAGCAAACCGCCCTAAATTGAGTAAGAGTTTGTTCTTTTTCCTTAATTTTGCTTTGTAAGCCTCGAATAATTTCCCCGCTCTCTACTTCTTTAATGATTTCTTTCGGTTGCTCTTGCAATTTTGCTTCTAATTGCTGAATAATTTGATTTTTGGCTTGGATAATGGCTGATAAATTTACTGTTTCGGTATTGTCTGGCTGAATTGGCGGTTGATCTTTTAATTTTCTTATCTCAGTTTCTAATTCAGTTATTTTTTGTTTTTGTTCTTGGTTTTGGATTTTTAAGTGGTTATAATCACCATTTAGACAGCAACTATTAGGACAAAAACAAGTATGAGTATCAATTTGCTTTTGTAAATTATCGGCTCGATTTTTTTCGTTAACTAAATCAACATTGGCTTGCTTTAATTGGGCGGAGGTGTGAGCGTGAGTGGCTTGCTCATTTTGAAAGTTGGCTTCAGCGGTGTCTCGTTCATTTTTAATCCCCTCATAATCGGCTCATAAATCGGATAGTTCAGTGCGGGCGTTGGCTAATTCAGTTTTTACTTTCCTGAGTTTAGTTTGTGAACCAGTAAATTTTCGGTTTCAAGATTTTTGAAGGGTTTGTTCTTGGCGGGCTAAATTTTCTTGATACTCCTGAGCGGTTTTGATTATTCGCTGAGTTTTAATTTCCACTAATTCTTCTAACTCGGTAATTCTTTGGTCTGCTTCGGCTTGGTTCGCCTCAAACTGGTCTAATTCTTGTTTTAATTCAGTCGCTTTATTTTTTAACTCAGCTATTTTTTGCTGTTGCTTATTTATATAAGCCGTTTTTTTAGCGATAGTTGCTGTTTTAGTGCTTAAATCCTGGGCTTGGTGATTAAGGAGATTTTCTTGCTGCTGCTGACTTTGCTCTAATTGGCTTATTTTTTCCTTGGCAGCACTAATTCTAATGCGGGCTCGGGCTAATTTGTGGCTATTTTTAGTTTGCTTACTTAATTTTTTACTTTGCTGTTTTAGGTCAGTTAAAGTTTGGGTTAATTTAATCTTAATTCGGCTTAACTCCTCCTGTGTTTGCTGGTGTGAGTGGTTTTTAGCAGTTGCTAACTGGTCTAAAATAGCAATAATCTGCTGTAATTCAATTATCTTTCAGACTTTTTCGCTTAATTCGGTGCTTAATTGCTGGTTATCCTGGACCAATTTCTCAATTTTGTGGGCGGCTTCATTTTTTTCTTTGGTTAAACGACTAATTACTAATTCTAATTTAGTTTGCTCATTCTTGGCAGTTTTAATTTCTTGTTCGTAGCCTATGCTAATTTGGGTAAATAACTCCTCAATTTCGGCTTGCTCGGTTTGGTAATTTTTTTCCACCGCGGCTATTTGGTTCATTAGTTCGTTTTTTAGTTTTAATCCTTCCTCTAATTCATCCCGCAAGCTTTCGTTTTCTGAGATTAAAAAATCTTTTTCTTGATTTTCCTTAATTTGCCCCTCCAAAACTGCGGTTTTTTTCTGCTCGGTTGCTAAATTAGTGGCAATTTCTTGGTTTTCACTTTTTATCAAGTCAAGTTGGTTATCACGCTCTTTTAAATCCTCTTTGGCTAACTCTCAATCAGCCTTATAAGTTTTCGCGGCGGCCAGGAAAAACTTAATCAGTTTATTTTTTTGTCGGTTGTCAACCAAGAATTTAGTTATTTTTTGCCGGTAAAATTCTGCTTTTTCCTCGTGTTTACTTTTTTCCTTTTCTCATTCCTCTTTTTCTTCTTTTAATTCCTTCACCTCTGCTTCTAACTTTATATAATCTTTTTCAAGCAAAAAGATTTTCCGCTCCTTCTTTCCCCAATCTTCTCCCGCTTTCCTCCCTACTAATTTTTTCCTAGCCTCAATGCTTACTAATTCGTTTACTACCTCATTAAAATCAGAGTATTGTTGGAAAACTAGCAACTCCTCCTCTCCTAGTAATCCGTTAAATGCCATTAAGTATAAAACTTTTTCTTTTAAGCGAACTTGGGCTCGACCGAATAAAGAATTAAGGTGCTTTACCTCTTGTAATTTTTTCAGTTCAGTCAACTTCTTTAATGTTTCTAACTTTATTAATCTCTCACGTTCTTTTAATTCTTTTAATTCTTTTAATTCTTTTAATTCTTTTAATTCTTTTAATTCTTTTAAATATTCGGCGTCTTTCAACCTTTCTCGATAAGTCTCTACTAATCTCTGGATAGAATTTTCCAGTGTCCCAAAAAGACAAGCCTGTAAGGAATAAATAGTGTCGGTATTTTTACCCTTTCCAGTTTTCTGATCCACTTCGTAAGGAGTAAAAATTGGTAAATTTTCCCAATTGGAGATTTGTAATCCCTCCACTATTTTTAAATAATCTTGCACATAATCTTTCGAAGTTTCATAATTAACGAGGGCTTGTTTAATATCATCTAAATGTTTTTTTAACTTGGCTTGTTTAGGTAGTAATTCATCAATTTTAGACTTGCCAAAATGGAATTTAGGTATTCAAGTAGTTTTGGTTGAGGTTAATATATCTCTAAGTTCTTCTCTTCCTTCCTCTAAGGGTTTTTGTTGATATCAATCAACCCAGTGGGCTGCTTCCCTATATAATTTAGTTCAATTACTTACTCTTAACTTCATTACCGGTTGGCTTTGAAGTTCATTTCAAGCGACCAAAGATTCGTTGTATCGCTTTTGGAGAGAAGTTTTGAAATCATTAAAAAATTGTAAATCTAATTTAAATGGTGGTGGGAGGGATATCGCAGGACTCGCGAAATTGGTTTTTTGGCGGAAGTTCAATTTTGCTCTCTCGGTTCTTTCCAACCAGAACTCCCAACTGGTCATTCTTTTTGCTTTCTTTTGTTCTTTCAGTCCCGAAGGCTCGGAGTGAATTCCTGGTCTTTTTGCTCTCTCTCTCTCTCTCTCTCTCTCTATTGTTAATAAATAAATTAACAATTTCTCTCTTAGTATGTTTATAATTATCAGCAATGACCTTTTTAATTCTCCCTCCTAGTGTGCTTGGTAAATTAAACCCGTTAAACTTATTTTGTTTTGCTATTTGACCTTCTCGGTTTTGTTTTATGCTCCTCATAAAAATATTTTAGCATTTAAAAAGAGCGACGAGAGCAGTTACCATAAATCATGCGTTAATAATAATACTTTGATATTTAAAAAGTGAGGAGTAAAAATTGCTTAAATTTAGTGAAAGATGACAAAAAAATTAACAGCCGCAGGGGAAAATTGCAACCAAAATGTTAAATTTGTTCACAGAATTAGTAAAAATAATCGTCCTAAATTTGCCTTGTATGAGGAAATTTAAAGAAATAATAATTACTGCTACTTTAGAACTTCCATAGTTTTCCTTATGCAGTAGTTATTTCACAATCTTTTCTAAATCTAAAAGAGCATTCCGAAAGGCAATCGCTTGGTCAAACTTGAATTCCCGGGTGGACTTTTTCATTTTTCTTCGTAAATCTTTCATTAGTTTTTCCAACTCTTTCTCTTTCATCTCTCCTTTTTGGGCTTTTTCTACTAACAAGGCGATTAGAGGGTCGAGGGCAATATCCTTGACTGGCTTTTCCACGGTTTGGGGAGTAATATTATTTTGGTAGTTATGTTGTTCTTGAATTTGACGGCGACGATTAGTTTCCTCAATGGCACCATGCATGTTGCTAGTAATCTCATCCGCATATAAAATAACCTTACCATTACTATTCCGTGAAGCCCGTCCAATTATTTGAATTAGTGAGCGAGTATCACGCAAAAAACCGGGCTTGTCAGCATCCAAAATACAGACCAAAGAGACTTCAGGAAGGTCGATTCCCTCTTTCAACAAATTAATTCCCACAATTACATCATACACTCCACGCCGCAAACTAGTAATGGCTTGATATCGCTCAAAAATTTCTAGCCGACTATGTAAATATACTACTCGGATTTCTCTTTCTCGTAAATAACTAGCAATATCCTCGGACATAGCAATAGTTAGGGCATAAATGAGAATTTTCCCCCCCCGGTGGGTTTTTTCTTTAATTTCCTCCATAATATCTGCAATTTGGTTGCGGGTGGTTCTGACTTCTATTTGCGGGTCCAAAAGGCCAGTCGGACGAATAATTTGCTCCACCGGTCGATAATTTACTTTCTCTAATTCAAAATTGCCAGGAGTAGCCGAAACATAAAGAGAAAAATTAATTTTTTCAAAAAATTCGGCTTGACTTAAAGGTCGGTTATCTAAGGCAGAAGGCAAGCGAAAACCATATTTTGCTAAGGTCTCTTTCCGTCGGCGGTCGGTATTATACATGGCCTTTACTTGGGGAATCGTAATGTGAGATTCATCAATAATAGTTAAAAAATCCTTGGGAAAATAATCTAATAACACGAAAGGGGTTTCGCCCTCGTTTCTCCCGTCAAAATAACGGGAATAATTTTCAATTCCGGGACAAAAACCCATTTCTCGCAAATTAAATAAGTCTTCCTGAACTCTTTTTTCTAGTCTTTCAGCCTCCAAAAATTTCCCTTCTTGGTAAAAGTATTCTTTTTGCTCGGTCAATTCCCTTTCAATTTTTGCTAAAATTTCGGCTAATTCTTCCCCTTCTTCTCCTACATAGTCCTGACTAGGCGGAATAGCAATTTTTGGTAATTCTTTTATCTTTTCTCCCGTTTGCTGATTTATTTTTTCTATTTTTTGGACTTTGTTTTCCTTAATACTTAACTGAAAATAATAATTCTCCTCTCATCCTAACATAAAACTAATTTTGTCCTCCTTTATTAGACAGTTTCCGGGATTAATTTTTTTGTCATTTTTATATCCGAGAAGCAATAACTTTTCCCGAAGTAAATCCTTGTCTATTTCTTGCCCTTTCTCCAAATGAATAACTACCTTGCGGTAAGAAACGGGATTGAAACAACCATAAATGGCGGCTACCGAAGCCACCACAATTACATGCCTATTAGTAACCAAAGAGTTTAGAGTTTTCAAACGCATTTTGGCAATACTGGCATTCCGCTGAACTTTTTTGCCGATATACATGTCAGTGGCAGGCTTATAGGCTTCCGGTTGGTAATAATCAAAATAAGAAACATAATATTCCACCCGATTATGAGGAAAAAATCCTTGCATTTCTTGATAGATTTGCATCGCTAAGGTCTTATTATGAGCCAGAATTAAGGTTGGTTTTTGGGTTTGCTGGATAATATTAGCCATGGTAAAAGTTTTGCCGGTGCCTGTGGCTCCTAAAAGCACTTGTTCTTTTTGCCCTTGACGAATACTTTCAACTATTTCCTTAATAGCATTGGGCTGGTCTCCTTTCGGCTGAAAATTAGTTATGAGATGGAACATAAATGGTATAAAATTTTAGGAGATAATAATTAATTTTACCCTAACCATGAATATAAAAAGGTGATTATATACAATTTTAAACTAAAATAAACTAAAACTATTATATACATAATTTTTATATGCCAGAGTTTAAAAGTATAATTGATTTATTAGCAGTCTTTCCCACCGAACAAACCATTATTAAGTATTTAGAAAACAAGAGATGAAATGGTAAGCCAGTTTCTCCTTATGACCCAATCTCCAAAGTTTACTTTTGCTTTAGCAATAACCAATACAAGTGTAAAAATACAGGTAGGTTCTTTAATGTCAAAACTGGAACTATCTTTGCCAACACCAAGATAAAGTTGAGAGATTGATTTTTGGCTTTGTATCTTTTCTCCGTTCATAAAAAAGGCATCTCCTCTTGTCAATTAGCCAAAGACCTTGGTATTACTCAAAAATCAGCCTACAAATTATTAGATGATTTACGGAACAGCCTTAAACAATCTAACTTTATTAAAGAAATGTTAAAGGATTTTGTTGAAATAGATGAGACCTATGTGGGAGGTAAGAATAAAAATAGACATTGAAATAAGAAGGTTCCTAATTCGCAAGGTCGCAGTTGGAAAGACAAAACCCCTACATTAGTAATGATAAAAAGAGGAGGAAACGCAATTGCCGAGGTAGTTCCTGATGTTAAGCAAAGAACCCTCGAACCGATAATCAGAAAGTATATTAAAAAAGGTTCTGATGTTTATACCGATGAATGGCTTGGCTTACAATGATTTAGGCAAGTGATTTAACCACCAAATAGTTATTCATAGGAAAAAGCAATATGTCAACGGCAAGGCTTCTACTAACACAGCAGAAAACTTTAACTCTCATTTTAAAGGAACCATTAAAGGCACTTACCATTGAATAAGCAAGAAGTATACCCAAAAATACGCTGATGAGTTTGTTTTTCGTTATAACACCCGGAAATATGGGGAGCAGAAGAGATTTGATTTCATGCTTTCATCAATCATGGGTAAAAGTTTGAGTTATGGGGAATTAATTAATCCTTGCTAACTTGTTGCTTCTGTTGTTTCTCTGCTCATTCTTTTTCCTCTCTAACCATCCTTATCTCCTCCTCCAAATCCCTAATAACAGTATTAACCAGATTGCCGACATTTATATTTAAATTGACAGCAAAAGAATAATAACTAACTTTTCTTTTCTCTATCTTTGTCATTAACTTACTACCCTCAACTCTAATTTCTCCTTTATTAAGTCTTTCACTTAACTCTTTTAAAAAATCCTCATTGTTTATTTTATTTAATTCATTCATATCCCTTATTTTAGGCATTTTTCTCCTTGCCTCGGGCTAATAAGTAGATAATAATTGCTACTAAACTCAAGAAAACCCCGCCTCCAACTATCCAAGGTCATCAACTTTTCTGATTAGGACTTTGTTCTTGCTTTTCTTTTTCTAAATCTGCTAACTCTTGTTTTTTATCCTTTAAATCTTGCTCTTGTTGGGGTGTTCTACCAACAATAACCTCTAACTTGGCAATCTTTCTCCGTAGTTTCTCAATCTTTTCGTCTCTCTCTCTCTCTCTCTATTGTCATCATTTCCTTTGCCAGTTTTTTTGTTAAACTCTGCTTCTAGTTCCTCAATGAACTCTCTGCCCTCTTTATATTTAGTGCTGTTTTTGTCTGATATTCCAGCCAACTCTTTTCTAAACCATTCAATAAAACCTTTTCAAACAGTTTCCTCCTCTTTCATTAAATTACTCTCATTCTTTAACTGCTCTAATATTTTCTCATAAGAATTATCCTTAATGGTGATGCTACTATTAGGATGAAAAATCCTTTTTCTTTTATCCTCATTTCTTACTTGTCCTCCTTTTGGTTTTTTTAACAAATCCTTGCTATCTGTAAAAGATATCTCATAGCAATAACCCTTTTCAAATTGCCTATTATTAATTCTAATATTAACATCAATTTTTTCTTCCTTTTCTAGTTCAGGATTGTCTAGGGGAATTAGTATCTCATATTTAGGAACTTCTACTCCATCTTCCATTTCTGTTTCTTGGGAAATAAACTTTCTAAAATTCATACTTATCCCTTGTAAGCCAACTCAAAATGTTTCACTTTGACTTCCCTCGTCTTTGGCTAGGATTTTAATTTCTTTTGTCATATTATAATTTTACTACACAAAAAACCTTCACATGACATTTCATTCTTTTAAATAGTCTTTCAAAGTTTCTTTTAAAGAATGGTAAAATTATATTATAGAAAATAGAAAAATATGGTAAATGTAAGTAAAAAGAACTATAAAAGGGGGTATATAGCACATAAGCATAATGGAAAGTTAGGTCATTGTTCCGAATGTAAAAATCAATCAGTAAGTCAGAAAGAGTTTGATAAAATGGTAGAAATTTTGTTAAATACTCCACCAAGAAAAAGGACTAAAAAAGATAGAAGTAAATTATAGTTGGTTTAATTTCGTATATAATCACCTAAATTATTTAATTGATTTTGTAAGACATTATTTAATTGTTCTCTTTCATTCTCTAATCTTTCCCTTTCTCTTTCAAATCCATCTATTATTTCTTTCTTTTGTTTTAACTCTTCTAAGGAATTATCCCATTTATCACGATAATCATCCCGCTCATTTTCCATTCGTCCTTTGGTTAAAAATAGTTTCCTAACCTCTTCAATTAGGACATTCACCGCCGGAGTATCCTCCGTATAAAAAGCCTGCGGTCAAAAGAGAGGAACCAGATTAAATTTTAATTCATTCTTTCAATCCCTTAGTTCTTTAACTGTGTTTTGCAATTCTTTTCTGGTGTGGGCTAAGGTCAGTAAATCCTGTCGTAAGTTAGCATTATATTCAGTTGAATTAGTAATATTATTTTGTTCTTGTTGTAATTGGTGAGTTAATTGATTAATGTAGTTCTGTTGCTTACCAAAGATAATAGCACTCCCTTTTAATAATTGGTTTAATTGGGTAAGGCGACTAGTTAGATTATCCCGTTCCTCTTGTAAGTTAGTGATGGTTTGTTGGCTAGTTGTTTTTTCTCCTTCTAATTTAGTAATTTGGATTTTTAGAGTTTTGATTTCAGTTAATCACCTTTGGAGGTTGTCGGCTAAATTATTGATGGCGAGAGGTCTTTGAATGAAGATTTCATTTTCATTTTTGATAGTGATAATTACTTCCTCTTTCTCATCCTGGTTCAATACTTTCGGGGCTACATAAAAATTGTCTTCGGAGGTTAGTTAATTTATGACTTAACTCTTGGGTAATATCTAAGGTGATTGGTTTATTATGGTGTTTAAAACCGTATCTTTCACAAACTGGTTCTTTTCAACCTTCCGTGGAACCTCAATATTTTTTGGGTTGTCCTAATTCAATAAAATTAGAGGGGATAGGTTGTTGAAATTGA